TGAGGTCTTTGACCTGTAGGGTATATATATACACACATATATAGAGAGGAACGTTGCATTTACCCTGTATCATTGTGTTGACCTGAACTGACCATGACCTAAATCAATTTGATAGGTCAAGGCCCGGTTAATCCAACCATGGTGACATTGGAAGATGGTGTTGACCCTGACCTCGTCTTTCCATCCGGTGATCTTTTCTCCACGAACCCCGGTGGTTTTGTACCTGGCACCCAGAAATCCAATGGAACTTGCTGAAGCCTGTGGTCAACGTTGGCAGGACTGCAAAGACCAATTGGTCATTGCATCTGCCGGGTTCTTATGAGGCTGACGGTATCTCCGGTGAACTATTGGAAACCAGGTTCTATGTTATTGTGTTCTATGCTAGTACAAGGAGCAAGCCCTACAGGTCCTTGCAGCTTGGAACTCAGATGAGCTTGGGCTTGCACTCGCAAAAGGATACATAAGGAGATGATATGTAATGATTTGTAGGTGTCCCGAAGAATTTTTATGCCGACCTGGCAACGGATCAAATTGGAAGCCCTTCATTGGTCGCTCACGCGGATCTTTTTCACATCAAACACGCTCAAAAGGTCAATTGAAATGAACAATAGAAACTCATTGGCTCTCGTGCGGGTCCTCTCTGTTGACTCTCTGTGGGCCCTAACTAATCTTGATGGAGTTTGTTCAACTGCACTTTGTGATTGCTACTATTAGTTCCTTCTCTTGCTGGAAGATTGGCAGCAATGGCCGTGTCATGCAAAAACAACATGTCACTGGACACACAACAGAATCTGGATTTGAATTCTTGACCCATAGCCATTTTGCTGGATTTCAGCCTTCGCACATTCAAGCCTCACTTCTTGCCTTTCACACGCGACCAGGTGCTCGTCACGCTCTGCGCGGAACGGGGGTGGTCGTCATGCGACCAGGGGAATCTCCAAAGGCCGTTTCCAATGAATACAGTGGTTTCCGGGAAAATGGCACAATCTCCAGAAGGGCGGTCTTTATGGACTCCCAATCTAAAGGACATCTTGGGGTCTGTGCCATCTACTCTGAAACCACTGTATAAGTATAATTCCATGAACAACCCTTGTTTGTCTATTGCTTGTAAGTTGCATGTTTTTCTTGTCTTTAACATTTGTCGAAGGCCCGAGGACCAGCTTCCTTGGAAACTCTAAATCAGGGATCGGGTGTGCAACTCCTTGCCACATGGATTTGTGGACACAGTACGTATCAGCCATGTGCAAGAACATCTGCACAAGATACATAGTGATCCTATTTTAAATAGATCGAACCGGTTTCCATTTTTTATCGATGTGGGGGTCTATAGGAACGATCTATTTACACATGTCAAGATGGACTTCCACCCGACGCATGGGTTTCTTTCCAGCTACGTCGACTCAACCCCTTCGGGCGGGTGGTGCCGGAACTGGCCGCCCAGGGACCGGGGGATGTGGGAACAGACCCCCAGGAGTGAATCACCACCTGGTACCCACCTTCACCAGAACTTCACCAGCTCCTCAGGTGTAGTTGGAGCTGTGCAATAAAAGGAGACTCAAGGCCCCAAGCTCATTATAGGAAAAACCGGATTCCCTCAGCTGCGAAGTCGGTCGCAGGTTTTGGGCCTTCCAGAGCTTCTTCACATCCTCCTTTGCCCCCTCAGTGATGCTCAGCAATCCCTCCTGGAAAGAAAAAATTGAAAAACAACACCAAGAACTCTTGGATGGAAGGTTCAGAGACATCAAGATGGTCGATGGAAGATGAACCCGGCCCATGTAGGAAGGCTGAAGGTACTTCGACCGTCGATCGATCGATCGATCGCTTGCGACAGTTGCCAACTTGGCAATTACGGGGCGACTTGGGGCGAGCGCCATGGCACCATGTTCCACCGCGCCTGTGCGCAATGACGGTCTCCGGTGGTCCACGTTGGACTGGGCACTGACACGCCATGGGAGCTGCCTCGATTTGCAACACCTCCAACCGGCACGGACAGGTGGGAGTGCCTTGGCTGTGGGCTTGGCAGGGGAGAATGGTGGCTGAGAGTCTTGAAAAAGGCTCGAGTTCGTGCGTTCCATCCACTTCACCGGGGCACGCCGATGTCCATCGGCAATCTCTCAACCACTCGAGTCACAGTGGCTTTTTCTCGGAGGGATGCCCGAGAGATCTGGAAGAGGAGGGTGGTCACAGACAACTGGGTCGAGAACCGCAACTGTGACCTAGAAGGAATCCATGAATGGTGTGGATACACCTTCTTCTACGTGAAGTTCGGGCCTCAGCATGAGGATCCAGCTGGTCGCACACAGGGGCCCATCCCTCCACCAGGCTCGGTGTCATCAATCCGAGGTTATGGAAGCACTGAGGCCCACCGATCTCGTGCAGGTGAGAGAGGAAGAAGTGTCATGCATGCTGAAGGGCGAGCGGCTGATGGGGATGGAACTGCCTATGATGGAAGTGCAATCAGTGCTCGTGGCAGTGTGTCCCTCGAGGGTGGCCCAATGACTGGATATGAACTTAGGTTGCAAGGATGTGAGCAACGGGGGGAGCTGGAAGTGGACTCTGGCCAGGCGGCTTGGACCCAGTCCTTGACCTGGGAAGGTCTATTGCAGCTGCCTTGCTGGATGGGCATTGCTACGGTTCCTTCGCCCCCGCCGCGCTTGGAGAGACATGAAGAGGACTCAGAATCTGATGGAAGCTTTGAAGTCATGACTAGTGGTGGATGAAAAAAACCTGCCACTGGACAGACTGGTGGTGGCACCGCCATCAGGGGGAGTGTGGGCAAGAAAGCATGGCCCCCCTTCCTTCTTTTGTTTGGAAGACACGCACAAACGAGAAGTGTTTTCCCTTGCGATGAACGCATCAGCACGCTTCGGCTCATGGCTCAAGAAAAAGAACCGACCCTTTTCCACTGAAGGAAACTCAGATTCAACATGCATTCGACCAAAGGCTGCTTGCCCCTGCTGACAGTCTGTAGCGAAACATATGCAAACATGCTTGCAACATGCTTCTGGCTACAAGTACTCTCCTGGATGAAAGTGTTGCTGCTTTGTGAAACTCTCTCTCCCTGGTTGGTCTAAGGACTCACAAATTGATTGCCAGATCATGGTAGATTATTTGGGGATCCTTGGGCGCTAGAAGTAGACAACATGCTGGCTGTTTCAAGGATTGCAACCGCTGCATTCACCGATGTCACATGTCAGATAAATCGTCCTTCTTGGGAGTTGCCGCCGCCTGCCAGAAGACTTCTCCAACATCCTAGCTGATTCATGCTGATTCTCTATCAGTCGCAATGCAAGTAACAAAGCCAGTGGTGTGATTGGACAAAGGTGGAGCTACAGAGTAGTCAGTCTTGTCAATGTTCCTCATGAACAACAAATACCTCCACAAATCCACAGAAATCACAATACACCCACTGAACCGAACACCAAACCAACCTGGCCATGTTCACCCCTTTCCGAACTGCAGGAACAAAGGGTACCTTGCAAGCCCGTCAAAGAGATTCCTGTCAAAGAGATTCATCGAGACAAAATCCAGGGAATGGCTGAATCTTGGAACGGACGTTGATGGTCGTGAGCCACTACAATCAGTGGCCGTAACAAAAAAAACTGGTTGACCACGGAAAATAAACCGAATATGAATTAATGGATTCGAACAAGTCTAGCTCCGCCATCGAACTCTTCAGATTCTTCGCCTTGGCCAAGGTTTCTGGCGATTGTGGAGGACCGCCCTGGCAGCGAGGCTGGTGCTTTCACCGTGGTTCCAGCACATCGACCAAAGTTTACCTTGGCACTCATAGACTCAAGATGACTTAAACTAAAAGCGATGGCCTCAACCCTAAGAGCGAGGGCCTCCAACCTAAAAGTGATGGCATCCAACCTAGTAGCGATGGCCTCAAACCTAAAAGCGATGGCCTCCAACCTAAGAGCCATGGCCTTCAACCTAAAAGTGATGGCCTCCAACCTAATAGCGATGGCCTCCCTCCTAATAGCGATGGCCTCCAATCTAGAAGCGATGGCCTCCAACCTATGACTTAAACTATCTGAAACTATATATATATATTATTAGGTCATGCGGCATGCGTGCCTTTTACAAGGTGACCTGAGGCATTGAAGCAACATCAAACTGGCACCCAAATTGATTTAACTATCATGATCTATGTATCCAAATATACAGCAATAATATGCAATAATCAGTAATATATCCCAATATAAATCTTTCTCCAAGTATTGGTGCAATGCTTCACCCAAAGAGGTGTCTCAAAATGAGGTGCAAGTGATCCGAATGAGCCATCCAGCGTAAATTTATTGGGGACATGCCTTGTGTTTGACTTAGATCATGGTGCATTACGACTCAACTCCTGTTGAAACCAAACATCTTCTGAGTCTTGGCATGAAGCTATGCAGCTAAACGAAACGATGTAGAGACTTCGCTCAGCACCCGCCTCTCGAGGCCAATATTGATGCACCTCATTCACTGGAAGCTCCTCAAGGTCCTGATTTTTCGACATGGTGCTCCAACGACCTCCATTTTCAATGCCCGGTAGTGAAAGCGTGCGTGCCACGGAGGATGTGGACGTCCCTACCTTCTGATGTGAGCGGTTCGGAGGATAGGTACATACACCCACCCACGTCAGTCGGGTGGTAATCAACCTTCCGCAAACACAAAACACACACAAGTTTCTGGTTGAAATGGGACGTGCTTTTGGACTCATTCTTAACTACATCGTCTTCCCGCTGCTTATCATCTTCAACTGTCATGGTGGGAGGTTGAGATGTCCAGTGGCTCTGGTCTGCCCATGATTAGTAAAACAAAATGATGTGACATAATTTAATTGTACTTTCAATTACAAACATCTGTCCAGCAAAGTGGTTCCCCTGCAAATTCAATGGAAGTGTCAACGCAGAATCGATTGTGTTGTGCAACTTGATTTAACTTGTCTTGAACAAAAGTCACTGCTAGAACCGAAGAATCTTCTTGCATTATGGACCACATGGTGTACATAATCAGTCCTTGAAGCTTACCTTGAAGGGCTCAATGAGGTCCCGAGGTCCCTCACTAGCTTGCAGCTTCACGAATGTTGATGCATCATGCCCATCCAACAACGGCCAGTGATTTCTCTCCTTCCAGGTCATCTTCACACCGGCGTCCCGCGCCTTTCCTGAGATCCAAGGTGATGAGGGACGCTCTTTTCCCAATCTCCTTTTCTAAGGAGCACTGAAACTCCATTATAACAACTACCCTGGAGGCCTTAACATGGTACCCTTCTCCCACCCAGTAACTATTATATAATATTATATATAATATATATATACATATATACAAGTACATAATTCGATGAACAAAACATCTGACACAATGCAAGGACCTCCAATGGCCACCGGCGAATACTTCCCGGAGTTTCGCGATCAGGGAACTCGAACTCAAGGGCCGAGATCTGCTTTAACTTCCCACCCCTCCCCCAGATGTAACCCGTCTGAGATGTGGCTGTGGCTGTGGGTCAAAACCGGTGTCCTGAAGGTCAGATCCAGAAAGGAGCAGAGTAGCAATGCATTTCAAACAGAAGATTTGGCCAGAGAAACCAAGCACAGCAAATAGAAGACATTTCTTTGTTTATATTTTGGTGCCAGACAAGAAATCTTGCAATTCTGCCACAAGTATATCTTTTCTTGCGTGTTTCCCAAAGATACCATCTGTAGTGCTGGTACAACGGACAGGCAAAATCCACCATCTGTCATACCGATGAAGCAAACTGTCTACCGAAGCAAAATAGAAATCATAGAAGATCAAAAAAACTTTTCAAACAGAAGATTGGCCTGACAGTCCAGGTTCCAATAGAAAAATTGAATAGGAGGCCCTTTGGTGGCTTTCGCAAAAGTAGCTATAAACAAACGATCATTCGATATAACATTGTATAACCCCTCGTGAACACCCCGACACCCGAAACTTCTTTCTTCTGTTTGATACTTTTTTGTTGGTGCGCGAAGAAAGCAGGATCAAATTGAAGACACAAATTGCGACTATTCAGGAACTTGTTCTATCTGTGAGGCTTGGATTATAGGTGCTTTCGACTTGCTCAAGGGGTCGAGCAAAACATGTTGAACCGGTGGAACAGGGACGAGAAGAAATTTGAAATGATCCCTTTACAAACTGGGTCTGCGCCACTTCCTTTATTTTGCAATGAATCAAAGAAAAACTTACCACAAAAGGACAAACAACGACCTTCCTGCTATACCAAAATCGGAAACTGTCAGAAGTGGTGACAGTATGTGACTCGGTGACACCGTCCGTCTCTTGCGTCCCCAAGGACGAATCTGCTCTGCCAAGACCGCATCATGTTGACCTCGCCGAGAAAAACGAGAAGAGATCCAGTTTCTGGGGCGAAAATCGAATCAACAAGAGTTTCAGCATCCAAATGGCAGCCAATCTCTAGTATGAGTCACTTGGTAAGGGCAAGTCGTGCTACAAATTCACTTTCAAACGTGCCACAAGATGTGCACCAACTCCAGAATTTCAGGCTTTTCGCCATTGGCTTTGTACGAGCAACCCAGCAGCTAGGAGTGTGGCAACGGATTGCACATTAGCTGTTGAACATGTTGAACATCTGTTCTGACTTTCTTGTATTATATTACTTATGTTATAATATGTAATATATATACATATAGGAAATCATGACAATAATGTTTACATATCATGTTTACACATCATGCTTCGATGTTCCAAGCTCCAGCATCTAACATCGCCCATGGATCCGCCCAATTCATGACCTTCCCCACTCGGGACAAGCCGCGGATTTGCTCGATTTGATCCTCGACATGGGGCCCAATGTGGCCGGATCGATGGCGGCATGGATTTCCAAGACTGCAAGCATAGGAGGACGTTTGTCCTAAAGAAACAAATGAACCTCTCAACACGTTGAAGGTTTCCATAACTCGATATCACTTGATGTGCGCTCTCTTCTGCCAATTGTTTGCAGTGGGACCTGGCTTTCAAGATGTCATCTCCATAAAAAAGAGAAACATCACAATTGGACTCCGCACCCGGGATTGGTAGGCAATGGATGTTAGACAATAAGTCACCTCGCGGATTCCGTCGACTCGGACTATGAGTCTCGACCTTCGGGTCCTCGGTGAACTGAGGAGCGCGGTGGGCCAAACGCACTTGTGGTCCTCCAAGCCAAATGCTTAAGGTCAACAAACTGTCCCTCAAAGAAATCAGCTGGATAGAACCTCTCTGTCGAAGTAGATGGTCTTGCAGGTGCCTAATACCTATAACATGTTCTACCTCCTTTGTGGAGGCTGACGACTGTTGAGCAAATCGAGATCTTGGGAATCACCGAGCTTCTGATACGGAAGATGGATTCACGTGCGGGCATATGGCAGGGGACATCTACCTCTCCAAGTGATGAGTTCCACGCACATCTGATCTGAGCAAAATATATTACAAGAAGCACAAGCAGACTTGAACTGAGGAAATGCCTATAGTATTGGACCATATTGGACCTGTGTGATGTGGTTTCCGTCCAAGTGAGCATAGTTCTTGTGCAAAGCCGAGCTCGAGATTCCGGCCACCCCTGCGAACCCCGACGTGCCTGCAAGGAAATGCCGCACCTCATGCAAAATGGACAACACTAGTGAAAAGCCAGGTTTGTAGAGTTGAGCTACGTTATATAACTGGTTTCTTTATGTTTCGTGATGAAGCGAAAGTCAATCCGAAATCACCCCTGCGAAGAACCAAGAATATACAATGTTCCTGGAAGTCTCAAGCTGCCCACCCAGCCTGCGTCTGGGAGGTCAGGAGTGTCGAAAAGCCAAGGCGAGATGTCGCACGGGCGAGAAAAGCCATGGTCGTCCAAGATTGGAGCGTTTGATGTACAACAACTTCTGAGAGTCGAATGGATGCCCTCCAATGCAAGGTTCTCAAAGGCAATGCCAGTGGACTCGGTCTGGCAAAACACATATATAGAGTTACGCGCAATGTACCTTGAAGAAGCTTCTGCATCAAAAGGAAGTGGGAAAGTCAGGAGGAACCCATCTGCCATGTCCAAACATTCATATATCATCATATATCTAGATCTAAGGCTTCCACAGATTCCACCACATGGTTCAGTGAGCCAGCGACTGGCTTGCCATTGGTGTTTAATCTCGACAGCCGAGCCAAATGTCTGCATCGAAGGTGTCAGCAACCTTTTCCTTGTGTCAGTAATTGCAAGCTGCTATAAGTAGCATTTGCATCCAAAATGCGGTAGCAAGAGGAAATTGAATGGACTAAATGGTCTAAATGAAACAGCAAACATTTGCAGTGATGAGAGCAATGGATGAACACCCCATCTTCTGCGAGAAAGAAAAGCGGTTGCTGCATGCAGCAACATTTCAAGCATGTTCACCGAATGAAACATCGATCCAACTGAGCGGGACGGATGTGCTCTCAAATCAATCTGACCCAAGTCATTCTGCTGGGGAGAGACCCTGACAACATCTCTCAAAACAAAAACACCTCTCAAACAATCCCATACCTTCAAGCAACCACTTGGTCACTTGAGCGTCCTCCAGCCATGGCAGCGGTGACATCAAGAGTTGCACCTGAGGCCATGGCTCCGCATTTCAGCCACACCTCTGTAGGCTTGAAGTTGTTTGGCTCCAAATCAATGTCACCAATGTTTCACCATTTTGAAACAACTGATGTTTGGCCTTGAAAAACATGTCCTTGGACTTCTTTGGCGCTTCAAGAATCTTTTTTCAACATAGTCATAGTGTCAACCAAAACCACCTCCCCATTTCTCGGTGACGCAGATGCGACTGTTCTTGCGTCGAGGTGCCATGGCCGCATACCACCAATATCTCCCTTTGGCCACAATGCCTGGGCAAGAAAGCAGGAAAATCCACGAGGATGACCAAACTCTGGCAGCACCGATCAGTAAAAACCCTATAGGTCTAGGTCCATGGCCACATATGGCTACGGCTGGGACGTCACGGATGTTCATGGCTTCACGTCTTCGCTAGTGGAGGTGATCGGCGGGGTTCCAACCATAGCTATCACAAGCAACATTACGAATCTTAGGTTCAAACATGTTCAAACATATGATATGCCTTTTTGGATTTATTTCAATGGTGTACTATCTGCTAGGACGGGCCAATAGCAGCTCATTGTACCGGTGCGACCCGAGAGGACTTGAGGCCAGAGGGGGTGAACGAAAGCTAGCCGGGCTTCCGGTGGTCTGCTGCTGGTGCTGCTGCTGCTGGTGCTGCTGCTGCCGCTGCTGCGCTGGGCGCTGCTGCGCTGGGTGCTCTGCAGGCGCCGGGTCGTCTGCTGCTGCTGCTGCTGGCGCTGGGTGGTCTGCTGCAGCTGCTGCTGCCGCGGCGTTGGGTATGCTGCTGCTGCTGCTGCCGCCGCTGGGTGGTCTGCTGCTGCTGCTGGTGCTGCTGCTGCTGCTGCCGCTGCTGCGCTGGGCGCTGCAGATGCTTGGTGTGCTGCAGCTGCTTGGTGGTCCCGCTCACCGCGCGCAGGGGGGAGTCGAACCGCGGGGGGGGGGGGTCCATAAGATTGATTTAATCAATTATTTGAGGTTTCTGAGGTGCGTCCACCCCGTCACTTAACTTGCTAAAGCAAGAGCAACTCCAGCTAGCTAAGGCTAGCTTTCGTGATGAGACGAAATGACCCGTGGGGGCCGAGAGATGACGTCCGTGCAGCGGAGTCGTCGAGAGATGGGTCCCTTCACCGACCAGGTCGTCTCTGGGCACCCCCAGCTGGGGAAGAAGACGTCATCGCTCCGCCGTGAAGCGCGCCAAATGACGTGGGGTTCCTGGCAGTCAGACCAGTGGCAGCTGAGGACTTCCGGCAGACCAGCACTTATCAAGCTACTGGTTTTTGGGCGGGTGAAAGTCAAGATTCACTCAAAGAGAAATGTTAACAAATGTTGACAGCGTCATTCATGCAAGTTCGCTATCCCAACTTTAATTGTACATGCAAAAATACTCTGAACTGAATTGTTACTTGTAAAACGGTATAACGCAGTAACACAGTGGTGAAATCCGGGTGCCGATTTCAGGCCATCAGTTTTCACAACAATTTGTTCGGTGCACTATTGTTTCGAATCCAGAGGCATTCAGGAAGTCCCTCGGCCAGCTTGTGGAGCATGGACCACCCAAGTGGAAAGATCAGTGGGACGCCAGAACATGTCCCACTCAGTTGGACAGTCCGGTGGACTGTAAGAGGTCCGGCGCTTCTTCACAACGATCGACTGGGAACTTGGGAGTCTGGAAATTGGATTAAATTGGATGAAGAACAACACCGGCTGCTATGTGATGCACTTGATTTTGTTCATGCGAAGTGTCTTGCTGTTTGTGTCACTTTGCTGTTGTGTGGATGGTTTGAGTTCTCCATGCTCATCTCACTGATCCAAACTGAGCTTTGTTCAGAAAGATCAAAGAAGTCATATAGAGAAAATCGCAATATATGTTTAAACATGTTTAAACAATATAGTGGAGAAAACTCAACCGGCAATCGAAAAGGTCAAATTGGTAAAGGAAATGGTGTTTCCTTTTTAGCTGGATGCAAGTGGACGCTTCCACCACAAATGCTCCGTAGTCGAAAGTCAACACGACAGGACGATTGTGCTCCGTGCCCAATACATACACTAGTAGCTCCTGGCATCGCTACTAGGAGCAAGGACGCTACTAGTAGCTCCTGGTCTTACTACTAGGAACAAGAAGCACACCAAAGTTTGCTCTCTCTCTCTCTCTCCCTCATTCTGGATTTTCCTCTGCAAACAAGCTTGGCTGGCGTTGCAAGTGCAGGTGGAATTGGTCTGTCCTGCCAAAGGATTGCATGCGGAGGCCTTTGATGTGCAATACTGATGCATCATGATGATCTTTATTTAGAAATTAGATCCTATATATTGGCACTTGAAGATGTCATAGGACATAGGAAATCAACAAACATGTTGCACGTTCCTTGCACAATAATATGTTTATAAGTTATGAGATATGTTGTTGGACATCCGCTGTCCAATGTATTACAGTACACGTATCAACAAAAAAAAATCAAAACAACAACTTCTCTGCATGGGGCACTGGGCAAAGCGTGCATGCCGCCGTTATTGGGTTCCAAAGGGGTATGATTCAATTCAATCACGCCCATAGACAAAGAAGAAACTGCATGGACATACTGTTCTTTTGAAACAACTTCAAACTTCATCACGCTAATGTAACACCCATCGATCATTTCTGAGAAGAGTAACACCCATGGGGTCCTTTGACACATCGATCTAGGTGGCAGATCGATGTGCCACACCCCGGGCAATTGGGACGTCAGTGAGTTTTTCTCACCAGGTCTCGGCTAGCAGAGATGGCTACCTGGTCGGCCGCACGAACGGTGATCTGTCACAACTAGAGTATGTCGGCCTGGAACTCATACGTTGTCCTAGGAAACAAGAGTATGTATGCCGATCATCTTGAACAATCATTAACGATCGATCAACGTCACCCTGGGCTTGCCAGCTTGCTCTAGCCGAGTTAGTACGAGTACGTCTGTTGAAAATTCCATGAACCATGCGCTTCCCTGTGCCTGGTCTGGGTGTGGGAAACTACTGCTCACCAAAAAAAAACTTGCATGGCCCATCTGAATCCATTGCGATCCCAAGCGCTTTGGCCTGCTGTCTCCACATTCCTGAGGCAAGGGAGAGAGAAGGGGGAGAGCGGGGACAGCTGCCCTCAACCGAACTCAGCTATGCCTCTTGGTGAGGAATTGACTCTTCACAGTTTGATCGAGAGATATCGCCCATGATTCTGATTGGAACACACAAACAGGCTGGATCATTGGGAGTGTCGGGCAGTGGCGTACATAAGCCACATAAACTAACATTCAAAAAAACAAAGGGTTCTAGCATGTTCTAAACATCCTCTGTCACCGAATCCTCCCAAACTGACAAACCGTCTCTCGGTCACTCTTTTCTTCGGTGGCTCTCACCATGACACATGATAAAGGGTCACCATGCTCCCCCCACTCAGGAGTTGAACAACAGTTGAACTATTGATTGACCAAACGGAACGTCGTTCAGATCTCGCGGTGCCAACATTTGATACTCTCCCTGGAACTAACATGGAAGTGGATGGCACCACCTGTTTGTAGTGGAAAATGGTATTCCAAGGGGCCATTCTCCACTTCCATGTTAGTTCCAGGGAGTGTATCCTTCGAAACATGTGTGTCCTTGAGCCATTGTGGTTTCTTGGGATGATCGAACCCCATTGGTCCAGCGAAGAGACCAAGTTTCTGCCAATCCGGAACCTTCTCCAGACCATTCTGCGTTACCTGGAACGGGCGTGCATGTCGGTTCTGCGTCACCAGGCAGGCGGAATATCCCAAGTGACTTGCCAAGTGCCATAGCATACAACTGGTGATGCACCACGCTGACAATAGACTTATAGACATGCAAGGGTAGACAAAGATGGAGGGACCCTCCATTGGAGGGTTGCATTTTTTGAAACGAGTGATAAACAAACCACAACAAAACAGTGGTCACGTAAAAACAAATACGGGACTGCAAAAAGGGGCCACTTAAACCATGACCGATGTCACTCTACAAGAATACCAATGCCCTAATGAGCTCACACAGGATTGGAACATGAAGCATGTACCCTCCCTCAAACAAGAGAGGCACCTGAAGGCTATTCTCTACACCTTGGGTACTCTTCAGCTTCCATGATTCTCTTAGAAGGTGCATGCTGCATGAACATTATCATTTTTGCCATCAACATCGTCTTCACCACACATCCCCGAGGCGCATGCCGGCCGACCGATGTCCGCCCCGTCCGTCCGGTGACCGGAGGATGTCCCGGTGTCGCCTT